CTATTGAATGTATCTTGTCTTTTTATGTACACTGAGAGCATCTGCACCAAAAATAAATTCCTTGTGTGTCCAATCAAATTTGGCCAATAAATGATTCTATTCTATTCTATTCTATTCTCTAACTCTTATTCTATTCTACTCCATTCTCTAACTTCTATTCTATTCTATTCTATTCCTATTTCTATTTCTATTGAATGTATCTTGTCTTTTTATGTACACTGAGAGCATCTGCATCAAAGACAAATTCCTTGTGTGTCCAATCACATTTGGCCAATAAACAAGTCTATTCTATTCTATTCTATTCTATTCTTTAATTCTTATTCTATTCTACTCCATTCTCTAACTTCTATTCTGTTCTATTCTATTCCTATTTCTATTTCTATTGAATGTATCTTGTCTTTTTATGTACACTGAGAGCATCTGCATCAAAGACAAATTCCTTGTGTGTCTAATCACATTTGGCCAATAAAGAATTCCATTCTATTTTACATGCTTTTAAACATAACCATGTTATGCATGCAGCATCTCACAACCTAACTGACGATGTGAGCATGCTGCTCCATATTGGCAAACTCTGATGCTGAAGCTCTTTGACGATGATGCCCTCAATCAATCAAGCAGCATTCAATCTCCAAGATCAATCCCTGGGGCGTTTACAAGGTATACCCTATTGCAGGTGTGTTCTGTGTAAAGCCAGATGCCCGGAGTCTTTTACCTGCTCATTTTCATAGTCGCAGAGGGCCTCCACAGGAATAGATTTAAGAGGGGGTTCTCGTCGATACTTCAGCGGAAGAACCTGCTGACTACGCTTCTGTAAGGAGCTCACCACATCCTCATACTTGTCCAAGGCCTTGTCCTGGTCCTAAAGGAGAAGAAAGCAAAGATTGTAGAATCACCAGGAAGGAAAAGATTGAGATGGAACAGCTAGAGCAATGCAGAGATAGTTACAAATCAAAGCTTAGTTTGACCCAAGCCCAACCTTTAGGTGGACCTTTGACCCCAGGTGTGGGCACTCTACTGGTCTATCCAGTTCCAAGACCCACCAAACAAGTTGGTGCGAATGATTGATCTTAGAATCAAATCATTTGGAAGACTTCAGAACTGGAACTGAATGAGCTACTGTGGCGCAGTGGTTAGAATGCAGTACTGCGGGCTACTTCTGCTGTCTGCCGGCTGCCTGCAATTTGGCAGTTCAAATCTCACCAGGCTCAAGATTGGCTCAGATTGTTGGGGGCAAGAGGCTGACTCTGTATACTGCTTAGAGAGGGCTATAAAGCACTGTGAAGCGGTATGTAAGTGCTATTGCTATAGTTGATTGGATGTTGCAATAGGAGCCCTGGTGGCAGAGTAATTAGAATGTGGCATTGCAGGCTGACTCTGCTCACAGTCTGGAGTTCAATCCTGACTGGCTAAAGATTGGCTCAGCCTTCCATCCTTCCAAGGTCAGTAAAATGAGGACCCAGATTATTGGGGGCAAGAGGCTGACTCTATAAACCGCTTAGAGGGGGCTGTAAAGCACTGTGAAGCAGTATATAAGTCTAAGTGCTATTGCTATTGCTAAAGGTAAATATTTTCCCTGTCATATCTGACTCTAGAGGGCAGTACTGATCTCTGTTTCCTAGCCAAGGGAGCCAGCATTGTCCAAAGACTCATTGGTGGTCATGAGACCAGAATGACGATTCACCAAAGATGCTGGGAACCCTACTACCTTCCCACCAAAGTGATACCTATTTATCTACTTGTATTTCATGCTTTCAAACGCTACTTTGGCAGGAACTGAAGTAAGGATGGGAGCATCAATGGTGCTTGGGTCTTGAACTCCCAACCTTCCGGTCAACAATTCAGTGTCTTAACCACTAAGCCACCTGTGTCCCCTAGAATAAAATGAGTTCTAAAGTAAACTCCATGCCTGCCTACTCCAACTTTCTTCCTATAATTTAGGCCAGGAAGAACACCAGGGCCAGACTGGTTGACCCAGAATGCTAAGGTATAATTCCATATTATAGCCATTATTATAATTTGTGGTTGATCTGGTACAACGTGGTTCCTTTCTTTTCTGCTTCCTTGATGGTGACTGCCCTCCATCAGGACTCAGCACGGTGTGGGAACTGAAGCCACTGCAGCTCCCTTGAGCTCATCTCAGCAGAAGGCATTGGGAGAGCCCAAGGATTTTTGCCTATCAGGCAGATCTTTCAGTAGATCACACTTTCTGCTGTAAAGCAAAGTAGGAAGAAGATAATTATTCCCTGCATTTGTTACACTACTGGGATTGATAGGAAGTTGGTGGGAGACATTGTGAGCTTAATTAAAGGAGAGTTTTGTCTGCTTGCCACACCTTTTGTGAACAAAGGATAAGGGGTTGTACTTTGCTAAAGTTCTCCAGAATGGGTCCACCAAGGAAGGAGATAAAAAGTGTGTATGGTTAATCTCAGAAAATTTCTCTAATTTTAGGCCAGCAATTCTGGGCATCTCAACACATATGTGCCATAAAATCAGAACTAATGAATGAGCATAAGGCAATAATAGTTATAAGAATTAAAAATGAACATTAATTATAGATTCAAGCTGGATCTGCCCTTGAGATCCCCAAATCCTGAAATTGGAAGGTACCACACAGTTTGCTTAATGCAGGAATCTAAGGCAAGCACCCTCAGCCAATGGTAGTTCCATCTTCCAGTGAAAGTGATATCAACTTTTTTTGGGGGGGGAATCCATTGTCCAACTGTTCTTCTGCTTAGGAAGACCCCTCATGCAGTTGGACTTTGTTCTCTTGTAACTTTTATCCATTGTTGGTCTCTGGAGCAAAGATGGTATGGACCATCTTGTTTGTGATGCCTTGGACCACAAGCCCACCACACGTTGGTCCAGCAGGGACCATTTCCAAATTGGTCAAAGTGGAGAGTGTTGCAGTGCTTACATCTGAGGGGACAATGACCTGGAGATAGTGACATAGATTCAACTTCTGTTGTGGCCCGCCAGCGGCCAGTGGAGCTGGCAGCATATTCGGACAGTGAGGAGTTTGGGGAAGAAGATGGGCCAGTCCTGGAGTCTGGGGAAGGCTCTGATGAAGACTCTGTGTTGGAGGCAGAGAGGGGGCCAGAATCGTCTGACAGTTATTAGCTGCCTTCGGAGTCAGACATCAGTGAGGCAGATGAACAGCTGGAGCCTGTTCCCAGTGTGCCCATGCACAGAGTTGCCAGACAAAGGGAACAGCTAAAGAACAGGGGTCGACTTGAGAGTAAGGCCATAAGTGGGCAATGAAGGTCCCCTCCCAGAGGAAATAAAAGAGGGGTGACAGGGGAATGGAGTTTGCAGGAGATCATTAGTTTGCTTAATTGGTTTGTGACTCTCCAAGACTCCTTGTCAAGTTTTGGAGATATTGGCTGGCCGCTCTCCAAGCCAAATAGTCTGTGACTGTAAATCCTCCTTTGAAAGGCTTTGCTGGCTGTGAATGAGCAGAATTCACTGTAAATTAACAAAAGGATTTTTTGCTGGGAAAAGGAATTTGCTTGATGCTCTTGGGAAGCCTCGGTCAGAACAACTTCAGAGAAGTCAGTATCTGTTATTTCTGGGGTAGCCAATTCTCCTTGGTGCAATCCAGATATTCTCCTTCCTCCCACTGACCTCCAACCCCAAGTTGGTCAAAATAATAGCTTTGCATTGTCTTTCAAAATACTTGCCTCCAGGTCATGCAACAAAGATTCGATCTGGTACCGGTCTTTGAAATCTGGGCTGTACTTCTGGTCCAGATCTGTGTCTACTTTTCTGAGAAGTTCCTGTGCGTCCTTGGCATCTTTTTGGAACTGCAAGGAGAGAGAAGATCCTTTTGATCACAATATATTCTTGAGAGGAAAGAGATGAGAAGGTAGCATCACTGAAAACCTGGGAAGGGCAGATAAACATGGGAGAGAAGAGAAGAGAACCGGTGGAAACTAATCAAGGAGAGAAGCAACCTAGAACTAAGGAGGAATTTCCTGATGGGGAGAACAATCAACCAGTAGAACAGCTTGCCTTCAGAGGTTGTGGGTGCTCCATCACTGGAGGTTTTAAAGAAGAGATTGGACAGCCATTTGCCTGAAATGGTCAAGAAGGGTAGCTGGATGGGAAGACCTCCAAGGTCCTTTCCAACTCTGTTGTTCTGTTATTGATGAAGAAGAGAGGAGAACGAAGGAGAGGGAAGAGGAGAGGGGGAGAAAGAGAGAAGGAGGAGGAGGCAGGAAGGAAAGAAGGAAGGAAGGGAGGGGAGAGGAGAGGGAGGGAGAGAGAAGAAGGAAGGAAGGAAAAAAGGAAGGAAGGGGAGAGGAGAGGAAAGGAGAGGAGAGGAAAGGAAAGGAGAGAGAGAGAAGAAGGAAGGAAGGAAAAAAGGAAGTGGAGACGAGAGGGAGAATAGAAAAGAGGGAAATGAGGAGAAATGAAAGACAACAAGAAGTAAAAAGAGGAGAGGGGCTTTGCTCCTTACCAATATGATGGTCTTGAGCAGATTTTGCTCAAGACCATCATATTGACTGACACATCCTGTGGTTGCGCCTGGGATCGATCGATCCGTCTGTCTGTCTGTCTGTCTTTCTTTCTTTCTTTCTTTCTTTTTCTTCCATTCTTTTTCTTTTTTTTAGACATTTTTTTTTAGACATTTTATTAAGATTTATAGGCCGCCCTCCTCCCTCCCTCCCTTTCCTTTCTCTTCCTTCCTTCCCTCCTCCCTCCCTCCCTCTCTGCTTTGAATACAGTTCCATTACATGAAACAATCAGCATGCGCAGCTATCCCTTCCCCTTGCTCCCTGTGAAAAGAAAAAAAAGGGAAAGCGCCATCGCAGTTCTACGCAAGTCTTCAAAAGTCTGGCCATTCCATTCCTGTGATTGGCCTCGGGGCAAAGCCACGCCCTCACCTATTAAAATAGGACTTTGAAAGAGGTCCCCATGGTTGCCGGTGAGCCTTTTGTTCTTAGACAACATGGAGGCCTCTTCCTCTGGTTTCAGGACAGAGAGGCAACTTTCAGGACCGGTTGCCCAAGGGGAAACCCGGTCCTTGGAACAAAATGGACCGAATGAGTTCTTGAGAGTAGGGCAGACGTTTTGATGGACCAGGAAGGTCTTCTGCTAAACCGGCTTCCAAAACCAGAGGGTTGACAGCCCAAGAGAAGGGAGGAGAAGAACTTGTCTGACAAGTTTGTTTTCCCACCAGTTCTTTCAGCTGTTTCCTCTGCAAACAAGTCCAGCCGCACCACCTGACCTGCCTGGATAATCTTCGTGCAAAGCTGCGCTAGACAAACTGTCTGTCAGGTTGGTTTGCTAGTGGGATCGGAGGCGGCCTCCTCCCCGTTCCCTCCCTTACAAAAGAGACAAAGCAGCTTTGGTTTTGCCAGGTCAGAAGAACATCCCCAAAGTGATGGCATGCCTGGAAATGTTCTCCTACTTCCTGTGCACACCTAGGCAGGCACCCCAAGGCACTCAGAAAATCATGATTTGAAAATCAGATGGAGACCTCAAAACCTCGATCTTCCGAAGGTTTTCCCCAACTGTCGTTGTAAAGACGACAGGATCATCGTTAAATGTGTGACTGGAGAAAGGAACCAGCACTGCACACCAGAACAACTAGACACAAGAACAGTTTTTCCCTGAACGCCATCACTCTGCTAAACGAATAATTCTCTCAACACTGTCAAACTATTCACTAAGTCTGCATTACTATTACTATTAGTCTTCTCATCGTTCC